CAAACCTCTTACTTGTATGTAAAGCCTCAGAATTATGAATCCTTATAAGGATTCTAGCACAAATACATATGCAATAAGATTGTATATTCAGATTTTTATTTGAGCTTAATGTGTACTTTTGAAGACTGGGTTATTACTGATTTGTTTAGCTATCTCTCTAAAGATTTTGGACTTTTGTGTTTACACAAACTGCCCTGAGTATGTTTTCCCTTTTGGGGATGCTAAAGTAAGGATAATATGGGCTTTAAAACCCTCACTTTGTCTATTGTTATAAAATATCTCAGTACTACAAGCAGTGGTGAAATATGATTAACTTTTGTTTTGGGGCAATGCTTTTACTAACAGCCCATTGGGCCAGATCATAACTCTTTTCAAATGAAATATCAATTTCTATATTTTAGAATCATTTCTCTCATATCAAATGTAAGATGAAGATAAATGAGGCTAAACTATATGAGGCCGTAAACACTGATAACCTAAAAATAGCAAATGTATGCATCTTCTTCACAATGTACATCTTTTAATTGTTTAGGAAGGATTTTCCCTCACATGCAGTAATTGTGAGCATGAATAACTGTTGAATAATATTGTTTCTTAATAGAAGAACAGTTACATGTGAAGGAAGTAGCTCTACTGTACTGTTGTAGCTACTTGTCTAACAGAAAACCTTCAGAGAGGCTGTATGAATTAATGTTACCTGATTGATTTTTTTTTTCTTTCCAAGAGATGCTGATACTGCTGATAATTTTAATTAGGTCTCGATTCCTAAAAGGGTGTGTACATACATCCATATGTATGTGTGTTACAGACACATTGCACACACATAAATATAGTCATGTTTCAGACTTTAATATTTATCTCAAAACAACACTTTCAAAGTATGAAAGGAACCAGTAGCTCCATGTTGTTTGGCTTTAGGAAAACCTTATTTTCTGGAAACCAGTCTATAAACCAGTGTTTTGAAGTTGATTGACTGCAATGTTAAAAAAAAATTAAGACCGGTTGTAAGGTGGCTGTTTTTTATTATTATTTTTTTCCTCCTTTGAATTAAATATATAGAAGCTCTTCATTTCACTGGAATATGTGGTGTCTAATAAGATGCAGGTTCACACAGTGGAAAAATTAAAAGGCTCCCTAGTCTCCAGCTGCATGCATGATCACAAAACATACATGAATTTAATTATTCTTGGAACTTTTTACCCACCCATTTGTGAAAATAGTTTGCAAATGGGTTCAAATGTTGGAAAGAAGGTAGAAAAAAGGGGGAAAACAAGGGGAAAAACAAACAAACAAACAAAACACCATGCATAAGTTTGCAAAAGCATTGGCATGATTGCATAAATCTCCTTCACTTAAGATGCACAGCTAGAAAGGGTAGATGAAGAGTGGAAAGGAGAAATCAGCAGAGGTCTGGAAGAGGAAATGAATGGAAAGGGTATGTGGTCAGATAGGTGCACTGTGGAGTTCTAAGGGTGTTCCATGTGGGTGTTGCAAAGGAAAAGAATCACTGGTTTTGAAGGAAGAAATAATGAATTCCAAGAGGAACTGAATAAAAGAGGTTCCAAGAATATGGAAATATATGTGGAAAAGATCTTGGACTGAGAGGTGAGACCATGGAATGTATAGGTCTGTGTCATAGCAGGAAGTGGGGCAACATATGGCTTCAGCCCAAAGTTGTTTTTAGTTCTTTAAAGAATGTTGAATTAGGCAATGCACATGTCAAAACTTCACAGAAACTTTGCTTCTCTGGAATCAGAGGATGAATCTGAGATTTGAAGGTCCAAGGCTGAGAAAGATTCAGCTCTGAAAGAAAATAATAGAAACTGGAAGATAATAGAAATGGTTCAGGCAAGTCAAGGAAATACCTTTTAATTAGACCACTTCTCTCTACTTTTCAAGCTATTCCTATTACTTGGTATGTTTTTGGTGACTTGACAAGAAAGGTGTTGCCAAATGAGAAGATGCATGTAGGGTTTATTTGCATCTCATTTTTTTTCATCTGTTTTCAGTCAATTATTCTGTTCTGTATTAAAATTATACATTCTGCAATCAGTGGATATGTTAATGAAGAGGATTTTTTGTCAGATGATTGTTTCACAGAGTGTCTATTATGAAATCCAATTAACGATCCTATAATGATGTTTCTATTGACATTTATATTGAAATTGCTGGCATGTTGTTATACCAAGTGTTGCTGTACATTCACTGTTGAAATTGAGGCTCAGGATGTAATACCAAAATGTGTTTCCTTGGGCAGTAAATATATAGAGAAGCTTTTGTCCTCGCTGCTTCCCCAGCTGCCCATTGCAGTAGTCCATGTGTGTGGAGATTGCCTCCAGTGACATGGGCTGAACTGGGGAGGAGGAGAAAAGGGAATTTCAGTTTTAGTGGTCCAGTTTGTAACAGCACCTTCATGGAGGCACTGGCAGAAACTGTGATGTGAGGGAATCAGTTTATAAGCTACAGAGGAGGTAGCTTGAGCACCCTTTACATTTTCTGCAGGAAACATCTTCTTATCCCTCCAAGTAATGAAGCACTTCTCAAAATATCAGATATTCCTTATTGATTTTTACGAGTCTTCTCCCTCTTGTTGCCACCCATGCTGCCTGCTTCCCATGCTGTTTTCAGTAAATCTTCACAGTGTAAACAGTAAAAGAGTAATGTCTCAGTCCCTTTGCCTGTTCTTAATGTCAACAAAGTTTATTTGGGGCATTTCTAACGTTCTTCACTAAGAGCAATGATGGTAAAAATGTCATTATTTTCCCCGTGAACTGTGAAACCAAAATAAATTGTGAAAGTATGAGAGAAGATCATGCAGTATTAGAAGCCAAAGCCTACCATGCGATTTTGTTTAGAGAAATGCTGGAGGCTTTGAAATGTCAAATAGATTCCAGTTGTATAATTTGAGGATCAAATTGTATTAACATCCATACTTAAAGTAAAAGAATACCATTTGCTGGCTTGATTTCATTCATTTTAAATAGAAATTAGTTCATAAATGAACATGACCTTTTAAAATAAAGGTTTCAGGTAGATTTCAGAACCTCAACAGTCATAATTTTAAAAGAGTAATAACAATATTTTTGTACATTGTGGCTAATGTACTATTTTTTTAAACACACTAGCTGTTAATAACCAGGTAGTTGAGCTGACTTTTATCCTTTAATATGCTCACACATCCCCTGAACTTTGCTAATACTGTATGCGTATGTCTGCAGGTAGGTCTACTATAGTTTGTATACATAGTGCAATTGCTGTACACAGCATAAAACTTAAACTGTGATTTTTGATTATAGCTTTTGTCAGGCTCCTTTAGAACTTACCAATGTTCTATCTACTAAGTCCTCACTGTCTACTTGTTTCTGCATTTCTTAAACTCTGCCTTGCTTCCAATTTCTGTAGTTTTATTTTATAATTCCCTGGAAGACACAGGCAGAAAAATATGTTTTCATTGTATGATGTATTACATCAAATTAAAGCTGCTAGATTTGAGAATGCACTTCACAATTCATGTCTTCTCGTGAACCATCACGACTGGATTGAGAATACTGGAGAAGAAGGAGGGCATTAGAAGAAGAATACAGAGAAGTCCACATGAGCATATTAATAGATGGTTCCAAATCTACCTATACTGAAATTTCACTAATTCTGCATGCAGAAAAGAATTTTAGAAACCTATTAAGATTCAGTAAAACTATATTTGTTGTTATCATTTGGACATGCATATAGCAGAGTTCTTTGTACTGACCACTTGTCTTTAGGCTTAGATGAGGAAGGTACAATATCAAGTGCAAAAATTTACAGGTGTATACAAATATACGCTCCAAGATTTGATGGCAGTTGGGGGAGGAATGAGCGACCCAGCTTAATTTAAATCCACTACTCTTAAAACCGTATAGAGATCTTAGCACATTGCATGATATGTTAGGGTTTTTTTTAGATGTTGTAACCCTTGCAGTGATTTGCCAACTTTTTTGGTGTAAATGTTTGAAGCAAGTATATTAGGGAGAAATGGCATATTTGTGATGCTAATAATGTCCATAAAAACCTCATTTGCAATACTGATGAACAAAAAATCTTTGCTGATCCTGAAGAAAATATGCCAAGTGTTTGGCTACTTCTTGAATATAGAAAATAGACCATGTTGAATTTATACTTTGATAGATTTGTAAAACAGAAATCAGATGACTGACACCCTCACTAACCAAATACATGTATGTTTTAGCAGTGCCTCTAGATAACAAGCAAGCTTCTAGGTAGCCAAGCATTTAAAGCCTTCTGACAGGTTTTAAGGTGTAGGATGTATGTAGGTGACTTCTTTAATTGCTGGATTATACTTTTCATCCCACTAATTACTTCTGACTGTAGCACAATGTGGGGAGATGTTAGGTTGTGCCTCTAGCTTACCCTTTGCATCTGTTTCTGAATATTTATCCATCCCTGATTCTAAACGCCATTCTTCCCATTGGATAAAGTTTTTACTTCTTCTAAGTTTCTCCAATAATTTTACCAGATATTAGATCAGGTCCCAGGAATTCCAGTGAATCAGGCAAATGCTATTCTAATGTGGCTCACAGCTGGACACCATACTTAACACAGGTGGAAGGGGTACATTTGTAAGGATGTTCTCAATTCCAAAGGAAAAGTTGTGGGGGTTTTTTGTTTGTTTGTTTGTTTTTCTTTTTCTGGGAGAGGAAAAGTAGTCCCTAAATAAACTGGAAGACTGTGAGAAATAATACTTCAATAAATGGAACTGCCTAAAGAAGAACTTAAACATATGAAACCAAGGAGAGTTGAACATTTTCCATGGATACATACCCTATGTTTTACAATGTTAATAGTAGATTTTAGATACTCTCTGTGCTTTTAATATCACTAGTGAAGAAAAACATTTTAAAAAGCCCTATGCGTATTAAGTGCATTGTGAACCAATAAAGCAAGTGGATATATGCCAGTGCTGTTCAACACTTTTTTCTTTTTCATTTTTTTCTATTTTTTAGATCACCTTTTGCTGCTGTGACAGATTACTCAGTAACAAGAAATAATGTCATACAGCTCTGTCTGGAACTAACGACAATCGTACAACAGGTATGAGACAATCTACCTAGCAATTTGTTTTTTCCTAAGAGTAAGTGGCCATTACCTTGTTCACACTGTTTTGCGTTACTCTCTGTCTATATCATTGACAAATTAAGGGAACAGTAGTGCTTAGTCAAGGCTTTATAAAAGTCCTGCTTCCTAGTTTTATAATAGTAGTTGGTCTATGCTGTACATATGTTTCTGCATATCTCAGTAGAGGAATCCATCTTGGTTTCTCTAGTTGAATAACATCACTATAAATTTGTGAAATCTACTTGATAATTTGCATATCCAATTTCATATATTTTGTCTTTGAATTAACTCTTTGGTTCAAAAGGTGTGTATATATTGGAGCTTTGTCATATGTTCTAAACAGCAGTAAAGATGACACGTCCCCATGAGGCTAGAATACTTTGTTTTGGTGTGTCCTACCTGCAAGAAATTCAAAAGTAAACACTGAGAAGCACTTGCTTAATGGGCTTCATTTTGGAGTGCAATTTAGAGAACCTTTCTCACTGTTTTGTTTCTTCTCTGTAAAGTGGTTTGGATCTGTCCCTATCCTTGTCTGTTGGAAAGTGAAAAGTCTTTTGCTACAAATTCAAACTGATGTTGATAACACAGAATCATTTAGGTCAGAAAATATCTCTAAGATCATCAGGACCAACCATTAAGCTAGCACTGCCAAGTCTACCACTAAACCGTGTCCCTAAGCACATCTACATTTTGTTTTAATACCTTTAGGAATGATGAGTCAACTGCTTCCCTGGGCAGCCTGTTCCAATGCCTCACGACCCTTTCAATGAAGGAATTTTTCCTAATCCAACCTAAACCTGCTCTGGCACAACTCAAGTTCATCTTGTCTTATCGCTTGTTGCTTGGCAGAACAGACTGACCCCTGACCCCACTACAACCTCCTTAGAGGTAGTTGTGTAGAGCAATTGCTCCAAGCCTCCTTTTCTCTAGGCTTAATAACCTCAGCTCCGTCAGTGAATCCTCATAAGACTTTTCTCTAGATCATTCACTGTATAGTAGAAATAACCCAGGAAGTTAACATAGTTCTATTCTGTTGAACATCATCCTGTACCCTGGTGCAAGCCTTTCTGAGGTTACTATTCATCTGTCTACCACTGATAACTGTGAAAGGACATAGCACCCTGATGAAGAAGGGCATATATCATCACTTGACCATTTTTTTGGTCTTCCATTTTCAGCAGAATCAGAAATGTTTATTGGCACCAAATCCTTCGGCTTCAGCTGAGGTTGTGCAGCAGCCTGTTGGCTTCATATTCCTTTCCTCTAGAAAAAGGTCAGGAAAATTTCTTCTGTGCTGGCTGTTGCAGGGCCAGGTCACAGCCATCTGTTGTGAGATGCTGGCCCTCCTCAGTGTGTGTGCCTGCTCGCTTTGGGCTGCAGTCTGGTGCTGAGGCAGGCAGTGCTTTAGGGGAAGAGGAGATACATGCGGTGTAGTTCCCATCATGGAGAGGGATGAGGCTCCAGAGAAGGTTGTCTGTCCTGGTGGTTCAGCAAACACAGAAGGAATATGTTGCTGCCAACAAGGAGAATTTTGAGGGAGTATTCACAAATGAGAAGGTGGAACAGATTAAAGGGAAGAGGGTAGGCAATGTAGGAGAGCTGGGGGGATTTTTTTTTTGTAGATTTCAGAAGTACCAGTCTACCTTGACTGAATTGAGCAATGCTACATTTTTCCTATGGTCCCTTGGCATGACTTTGTTTGATGATGCTCTCCCTTTTGTAAAAGAACTGCATTTTTCTCTGATGCTTTCATAAATGCATACAGTACCAAAGATTAATTGGGTTTGCGTTCTTCCTGAGTTAGAAAAGAGCAATATTGCTAGTTCTGCGTGTTCAAGTATTGGAAACAAAAGTTTCTCACTTGCAGAGAGGAAAAAAAAAAAAGAAAAACTTATTCCTGTTCATTATTTTTCTTCTTCATTATTATTGTTTTTATTTTGGTGTGGAAATGGAGCATGGGATGTTCCCTCCCCATGGGCTACACAGTAAGGGTGCATTTTTGCCACCTAGGGCCATCCTGCACTCCGTGCCACACTTCTTGCCTTCACTCTGCCTCAGACTGCACAGAGGTGTCAGCTGTAGTGGCTGTGGAAGAAGAGCACAGACCTGTGGTTTTGTGGCAGGCTTTTGTGCAACTGTGTCTTAATCTGTTGTCCCATGGTGTGTTGTGCCCTTGTTTGGCTGTGAAAAGGGGTTGGTACCTCAGGAAAAAGAAGCACGCAGGACCTCCCTTCTCCTTGACCAAGCAGCTCATTTTTCATTGATGTAGCAGTGAGTTGCTGTCTAACTTTCTAAGTGTGGGGGGGAAAGAGGCACCTGATCCATTTTCATGTGTCCACTATTAATAAAAAGGTGGGTAAAATATCAACTACTGCAGTATTTCCCAGGAAGTAGATCAATATCAGATCACTTTCTTCTGGATTCATCCTTATTCATGGTACTACTAATTTCCTATGGTCTTAGCTCAACTATTTTAAAGATTTTTCAGTGTGCAGTGAAATAGACCAAACATTACTTTTAATACTTTAAAAAAAAAAAAAGTATTTTCGCCAAAACTGACATGATTTCCCAACCAGGAAGCAGTTCAGCATATGAATCCATACTTTGAAGTCAGAAGGAGCATTTATGTGCCCCAGTGTAAGCACACTCTGGAACTGAACTGGGCTGTAGTCAGAAGAATGATAATGAAAAATTCCATTACTAGTCCCAAACACATGTGGATTGATCTCTGCTTAAAACAAATGCATTCCAGTACAGCATTTCAAAATGGCTTCACTGGGCTTTTATTTTATATGATCACTGAACACACTGAAAATCCCCATTGTGCTTTCTAAAGTCTGTAAATTGAATGTTTCAGTATCACCTTATCAAGTGTTTTTTGCTGTCTTAGAACCCGTTTTATTTTGTATGTGAAGTATCTCATAGTACTTCACTACCTTATAGTAATGTAGTTTTTTTTTTTTTCAGTTTACGAAAGACCTGCAAAAGGCAACATTGCAATTTTTTTTTAACACTAGTTAACAGATGATGTAAAGCCTAATGGTGTATTAAGAAAAAACATACAGTTAGTACATTTTCTTATAAATTTGACTTTTTTTCAAGTCATTCATACAATATAAAAATAGAACTCTAGTATTCACTTCAGTAGCTGAGTACTGGGAAGATTCAGAACTGATTTTTATGTTGTTTACGCGCAGCCAACATTCAGAAGTTTTAACCAAAAATGATTCCTTAGTCAAGAGATGGGAAGAAAGCTAAAAATTAGGCTGACTTGCTTGTATTATTTTGCATGCTTTAAGGCTAATTGTTAGTATTTCTCCATGGGATGAAGGTGATTTGTTCTGTCCCCTCCCATCAGCACTAAATGGATAATGAAGGAAAAAAGGCAGAAACACTGTTCTGTTCTCTCATCTAAGTATGAAGTCTAAGAAAATCTATTGAGTGTCTTTGCTTTAACCTTTAAATAATTAGAGAAGTTGGATTTATAATACCTGCTTGGAGACCGACTTTGGAATAAAAAGCAAAATGGCACATACTTGGGTTTAACCATTTCATTTTCTCTGTGCAATGCAGGCCAGTGCGCAATGGATATTTGCCTTTGGAAACAGATCCCTCAAAGCGCTGCAAGTTATTATCATAACCTGTTTTGCAGTCACACTAATCATATGCTTCTATGCATCTGCTTTATTTTGGTTTAAGGTTTTCTCCCCTCCTGCCCCACCCCTTAGGACTGTAGGATATTGTTTCATAGGCACTTCCTGCAGGTTTTCAACCTTCATACCATCCTCCTTGCTGATGGTTTATTTAATTCAGAGTTTACATTCTTGTTTTATTTTTATAACCAACTCTTTTCCTTGCAGCAGAACACTGGGGAAGAAAGAAAAAAAAAAAAAAAGCCCATGAGACTATCATGGTATTTTCTACCATCCCTTTGCACTCTCTCCCTTTCTTCCCTATGCCTAGCTGTCTATTCAGAGCATCCCCGTAGGAACTGAAGGCTGTGCTGTACTCAGTTTATACTGCAACAAGTAAAAGAGCCTGTTTTTTTCTTGATAGTAAAAGATTAAAGGGATAAGAGCATACAGGTGAGTATACACATACATGTAAGGAAGGACATAAGTGACCACTTGTCTTGTCTTCTATGTAAGTCAGATTGCTATTGATGGTTAGGCAGGGAGTCCATCTTCAGAAGATGCTGGAATGTGTTCCTTTCCAGTCTTTTAAGAAAGTAACATTAGCTACAAAGCTAACTGTAAGAAGCAGGTTTATTTATTTGTTTTAAGCAATCTGTAGGCAGCTTTTATTGTAATTTTAATGCTCTTATTCCTCAGGAATCCATTGGAATTTCACTTTAAAAAAAAAAAAAAAGCTTTCTTCTTTGGGATTAAAATTCTGGTAATTTTGGGAATATCTGAGAAGTATAACTTTGTTTTGTAAGTTATCAGGCATTTAAAGAAAATATTACTGCCAAACACCATATTTCCTATTATTGCTGTACAGTAGCAGTCATGAGTTTTTTCACTTTCCTTTATCAGCTTTCACAATGATTTGCTGTGTTTATCTAGTTTTAAGACCATTGGTGTTTGTCTCCCAGCTTTCATGTTTTGTAGGATTTACTTAGCAAGATGTTCTAGTTCAAGCGTAGCTGTAGGCCTATAAACCCTAATTTTCAAGAGCTTCACTGCAATTACTTCTCTGCCTAAATACTTTTTTTCTGAAAAGAGCCTGGCTCTGTCCTCTTGTACTCTCCCTTCGGGTATTTATAGACCTTCAGGTCCTTTACTGCAGGGCTGCTTTCCAGCCTGGTGCTCCTCTCCCCCCGCCCCGCCCCAGCACATACTGGTGCCTGAGGTTGTTCCTCCCTAGGTGCAGGTCTTTGCACTTCTTGTTGAACTTCATGAGATTCTTGTTAGCCCACCTCTCCAGCCTGTCCAGGTCCCTCTGGTTGGCTGTGTGGCTCTCTCAGCCACTCCTCC